ATTCGAAATCGTTCGAAAAAATAAACTATAGATGTTAAAAATAATAAGCAACGAAAATCTGGAACAGTATAACACCCTTGTTAATATAAAAATAAAAATACCACGTAAAGAAAAACTAACACCGACCCATCAGATATGCCTCGCTCTGGTTCTTTTTCATACGATTATCGAAAGAATCCACTTAACGCATTCACGTTCACCAGTCCCTTCGCCTATCCAAAATCATCCATCTTTGCTCCCAGGGCTTTGTTTGTCGTACATCCCTCGTTTATTCTTCGTACCCCAGTTTTTGAGGTTCGCGATTTATTATTTTATGCGCTGTCGTCGTTTTCTTCCGGTTTTTTTCCTTCGTTTTTCGGCGATTTATTTTCAAAACTTAAAGTGGAAAGAACACACCGAAAGATATGTTGACGTGGAACGATACAAATATACTGAAAAGAATGGATTTGCTTTCGTTGGGTAAAAATATATAGAGATATGTACATGGGGTGGGTCAAATTGGACGCTTTTAAAGGGAAACATCCTTTTCTATAGGAGATAGACGAAAACTAATATCGGTGTGTGGAGCTCAATTTTTGTCAAAAACATGATGGTGAAAACCGCACATCGATATCTGTTACCGTTTTGGAGTTACGGGGTGTTTTTCAAAAATGTCCATTTTTAATAAATCGCTGTAACTTTTTGCTACGGAAAATTTTGTATTTTTATGAAAACATTTCCAAAGCACCTTTTGTCTCGGAGTTTTCTGACATGAGAAATTTGATTTTGATGTGAATATGACTCCTACTTACTTTAACTATTTTGAAGAGTAATAACTTTTCGTCCGTACCCGTATAAAACTATTGAGTGAAAAGATATACATTGTTGTGACTTTATACGTAAAAAATACCTCTTGGTAAAATTCGCTACGAGCAACCGTTCTCAAGATATTTAGAATGGAAATAGTCAATACATGTCATTATTAACAAAATATAATCATGTTATTAGATAGTTATTTGACTGAAATGATAAATTTGGGAACTTTCTGTTTTTTTAAATTAATCATAAATTTTTCTTCGAAAAATGATGATAAAACAGTTTCTATTGAACTTTTGGCACAAAAACATTTCAAATTTATAATTTCAATCTAATAACTATGTAGTCGACATATTTAATTTATGTCAATAAGGACAAATGATATTGATTATTTAGATTCCACGTATCTCGAAAACCATTCGTAGCGATTTTTACCTAGATACCTATATCACATAAAAAACGTCGTAAATGTATATTTTTTTTACTCAGTAGGTTTATACAAAACAAGGACAAAAAGTTATTACTCTTGAAACCACATGTTAAAAAATAAACTACATGTTAAAACACATGTAGATGGCGCCCCCTACAAGTATGAGTGATATTGACATCGAAATAAAATTTCTCATATCAAAAAATACCCCGACACCAATTTTTATCTAAATATTGACGTTAGAATTATTCAGAAATTATTTGAAAAAAAAAACGAAATAAAAATGAAATTTCTACACCCTGTATCTCTGGAACAATTAAGCATTTTAGGATATACTTAGGAACTTTTTTACTTATTTTTTTACCGGGCTGGCAACTGTTACTTTTGGGTCGGTATTTACATGTATGGAAGTAAATCGCATAGGGATCTTATTAATTGGGAGTGAGAGAAATGCGACGGTCTGCTGTTGCGACGTTGCACAGTGATCTAAATGTAAAAATTACGGGGACATTAGGTGACAAGTTTGTCTTCACTGAAGATTGATAGTATGTATAATTTTATAAATAGAATAAAGTCCCATCTTACTTGTATATCATAGTTTTGTATTTGGTGGATCGGAATCCGATAAAATTGAGGACAAAATAAACAAAAACATAAATGTTCATGTATATAGAATTTGTTCTCGAGTATCTTGAAGTTCGTTTTGGTAGTTGTGTTGAGATTAGAATATCGTGGTTTGTTTTTTAATTCAGACATATCTGCTCATTTGTTAAGTAAGTTTAGTTGCTTATTTCGAAACACGAATTTTGATATAATTAGTTGTCAAAGAAGTATTTACAATTTTATTAAAGTTTAAAGAATGGAAGGCTCAGAAAAAAACGACCGTTTTCGTCACCGTCAAACTCAATTTATTTTAAAGCTAGTATATCTACCTATCGTGTAACAATATACTGGGCTGCAGATAGGTGCAGTCTTGTGAAATTTTTATTTTTTTCCTATTATGTACAATTTCGGACGTGAGTCGAAAACACTTATTTGAGCTTTTGAATGAAAATGGCTGGATGGGAAGTGCCACTTCTTTAGTTGTGAGAAAAAAGATGGCCGACTTTGTTAGACAACGCATCCCTACTGCTGACGATGATGACCTAACCAACAAAATATCATGGTTTTCAACTCAAATTGCTTTACGTTGGAAAAGGTGCTACCGAAATAAGAAAGACTTTTTTTTAAAGAAACATGTAAAGAAGTTTCTGAGGGCTTATGATCAAGAAAAATCACAGATCTTCCTGGGTCTGAGTAAGAACAATCTTCGGATTGTCACGGGGTTTTTAACAGGACACTGTCTACCTCAGTAGATTGAAACTAAGAAGAAACGGCGAATGCAGATTCTGTGGGGAAGATGGGGAAACACCAGTACACCTCATCACTGAGTGCGCCGAGACGACAACCATTCGTGCCATGAATTTTGGTACGACTGATATTGGAGATGGAGAACTACCCTTTATAAAACCGTCCCAGATACTGGCTTTTGTCAAAGCCCTGGGACTGTATGATGAGTTATGATTCAAGAAAGGGGGACACAATGGATCTGTAAGGTCGAAGTGATTGACCCCCCTCCCACTCATTCTAAATTCTAAAAAAAGAAACATGTAATTTGGCTTAACGAATATGTTTATAAATCTAAGTGCCAAAGCACCTTTCAGCAACATGCAAAAACGCCTTCGCGAAAGAACTCAAGAGAATTTAGTGCTGTTAGTACTAGAACTTAGAGAATACGTACACAAGAATTGGTTTCTCAATGTAGTTCTGCTGAACTTGCGTTTGCTACTCAGACTGGATATACAAAAAAAAGGAAAGAGAAATGTTGCTTTTGCCATCAAAAAAGCTACGATTTCTAGTCCGGAAGAGTTGGCAAAAATAAAAAATTTAGAAACTTCAAACAACGAGATGCGACCATTTTCTCCAGAGGAAGCCTTGATAAAGATAACATTTTGTAGACCAGTAAATACATTCAGTTAAAATACCCAAGTAACACAATATCATTATCAACATTGTTTTAAGTTGTAATATTCACTTGTAAATTCAACAAATAAAATGACAAAATACCATCTTGTAATATCCTGACGCAGTAAAACAAAATAATATTTTAGGTACTGTAAATGGTATAGAGCTTCAAAAATATAAATGGCTGTAACTTTTGATACTCACGGTATAAACCATACACCCCTATATTAAAATGCTGGAAAAAGTACCAGGAACTGAAATCTCAAAAAATATATAGGGTGTTTTCTTTAAAAAAACTGAAGTTTGGTCTTTAGCAGTTTTCTGACACACCCCGTATAATTAAAAATATTTTAACAAGAAGCAATTCACTATTCAATACCCTGTATATAAAATAGGAAGGTAAAAATGTAAAAAGTCTTTTTGATGTGTGTAATTTTACATAAAAACATTATACATAACAATTATTTCCTTTATTTCAAAAACAAAATTGAGTGTCCCCGTAATTTTTCCATTTAGACCACTGTGCATTCCCGGTACGCCTTTCTCCATCAAGTAAAGTAAAATCACGATCGCAAAATTTTTAAAAGACTTTTTTTTCGAAAAGATAGCTAGATAAAATCAGCATGTTTCTGAGCATCAATAATATATATATCATATAATTTTCAATAGTTTTTCATATTATTTCAAGTCAGTTATTCAATATTTCATGTCAGTAGTCGCGATAATTTAAAAACTCAACTTTTTAACACATAACACGTTATAACTCAAGAACCACTTTAGAAATTGAAACTTTTTTTTTAATTGAAGATTGCATCTTTTACAATGTGTTTGCATAAGAAAAATAGCAGAAATATTAAGCAAGTTTTTGAAAAACTACAATCAATTTATTTTTAATAGATTTCGAGATATCGATTTTTGAATTCAGAGTTCTAATAGCGCGACCACTGTCGAACGCCAACTCCACTTATTTTTACCAAAAATGCAAGTGTTTCTAGCTTGCACATAAAAATTTTCAAGCTATAGGGAAAATTACAACGACTCGTTGATAAATAAACAAATAAAGTACACGAGACGTAATTAAATCGTGAAGCTGACTACATGATGTACACCTTTCCCTAGAACTCTAAGGTACTGACAGAGGTACTGATTGGGTCGACCGGTCTACTGCGACAAATCTGCTATATCCCCTTCCACGTCTCTTAGCAATGTGCACAGTTTCAGAAGTGTCTAGTCCTAGCAGTCAACTATTAAGCTTGACCAATCAGGTTGGTTAGCGTGGTTATTTGGAGTGTGTTAATTCATTTGTGTTTGTCAAAAACTCTAACGTGATTGGTCGGGCTTAACAGTTGCCTGCTAGGGCTAGACACAAGTCACAGTTTCTCGGTTTATTTCATGCGTTTGGCAACGTGTTTACATGTGTTCTACGTATGTAAATGTGTTCTACAGGTCTTAGGTGTTTCATACATAGTGTGCTATCTTTGTTCAGTATATTATAAACGCATTGTACTCTTCTTACATACGGAAATTTCGACCCAAGACTAACCTTTTCCAGCCTTTAGGATAGTGGTTTGCAAATTGTTTTAAAAATGATTATATAAAAACTAAAGAACATCATGAATTATTTTAGGGTACAGTCTTACGGCCTAATCATTCAATATGGAATATTAACAAAGGTTAAGTTTCAGTGTCTCATTCTAGCGATGCAAAAACTTCTTAAATAATATGATGTATGTATTATACAAAAGCTTGCATAATATTTTTTTTTTTTCAGATACAACTCCAATTTGAAAAATTCGAGCTGGACAATCCCAACGATTGCGAGTCTAATTTTGTCGAAGTATTCTCGAATGATACCATCAATTCCAAGAAAAAGTTCTGCGGCTCCATAGCGGATACTGTGCTCTCCGACACTAACCATAACGTGTTGATTGTTCGTTTCTATGCCGAATTTTTAGGAGATAAAACCACTTTTTATGCCAATTTTACTGCATTTCGTGAATATACCAAAGGTAAGTACATAGGTTGTAAAATTGTTTTTACGAAGTTTTCATGAGAAAGTGCAAACATGAAGAAAGTTTTGAAAAATGAGTTTAATTAATACAGTAAGTTCCCGGGTTGTCTTTACAAGAGGAAAAACTTTTTTATTGTCTTTTGAGAAAAATGCATTCTTTATAAAAGTTTTTGCTTGTTCTAAAATGGTTAATCCCGTTTGTACTTTTCCAAATTTCCATACCTTTTTAGAGAAATTTCTAAAAATATTTCATGAAGCATTTCTGGAAATACTTTCAGAAATAAACTCAATGCTTTTTTTATACCGTGCTGGCAACTGTTACTTTTGTATCGGTATTTACATGTGTGGAAGTAAATCGCATATGGATCTTATTAAGTGGGAGTGAGAGAAATGCGACGGTGTGCTGTTGCGTTGTTGTTGGTACGCATTTCCTTATCAAGTAAAATCACGAATGCAAACCGCTTATTTTTAAGACTTTTTTTCGAAAAGGTAACTAGATAAAATCATTAAATATGTTTCTGAGCCTCTGAAATGGAACTATAAAGATATCGTTATGGTGTCCATTTTTTATAACGAGAAAACGTCAGTAATCGCGATAATTTAAAAACTCAACTTTTTTACACATAACACGCTATAACTTAAGAACCACTTTAGATATTGAAGCTTTTTTATTTTGAAGATCGGATCATTTACAATATGTTTATGTTTACATAAGAAAAATTCGATAAGGTTGTTTTTTTCCATTCTAAAATTTAAACAACCCATCCATTTACTTTTAGTGCATAGCAGTTTTTAACAATCGTGTAACTTTTTTATTTATAAAGATTTTTGCATACTGTCTGCGAAGAAAGTTTTTGGAAAACTACAATCAATTATTTCTAATAGATTTCGAGATATCGATTTTTGAATTCAGTGTTCTAAAAGCGCGACGACTATCGAACACCAACTCAATTCGACTTATTTTTACCAAAAACGCAAGTGTTTCTTGCGCTATAGAGAAAAACTTGCGCTATAGGGAAAATTACAACGACTCGTTAATAAATAACCAAATAAAGTATCACGAGACGTAATTAAATCGTGAAGCTGAAAGCATGATGTAAGTACACCTTTTCCTCGAACTTTAAGTACTGCCAGAGATAAGTAATTGGTTCAACCGGTCGACTGTGACAAATCTGCTATATCCCCTTCCATGTCTCTTAGCAATGTGCACAGTTTCTCGGTTTATTTCATACGTTTGGCAACGTGTTGACTCTTCTTTCATTGTTTAGTAGATTATAAACGCACTGTACTCTTCTTACATACGGAAATCTCGACCCAAGACTAACCTTTGCCAGCCCTTAGTATTGCGGGGAATCTCGGCCGCAAACTCCGAAATAGATCTAAATAGACCGAGACACGGCCGTGGTTGGTTCTTTGTTTTTTATTGTTAACAAACACGGCGCAGCGTGTCTCGGTCTATTTCGGGAAACGTTTCGATCAGTTTCGACAAAATTTTTATGACACGCTCTTATATTTATCGTACCTACTATTTCGCGAAACAATCAAGGTCAAACGTTGAGGTAGCTTAAAAAAATAAGTAAATAAGGAGCATTAATACCTAAATATCATTAATTTGTAATGGAGTGTAATGTAATACTATGTTAAACTGATATGAAAAATCAAAAACAGTGCATTTAGAAAACAGTTACCGATGGTAGATTAAATTGGCTATTCCTCTAAGGTTACACAAGAATGTTTAGTTTTAATCATTGTATAATATTATTGATTACTATATAGTTAAAAATATACCTATATCCAAAACCTAAAATCGTAAAACTGTAGAACAACAGTGACTAACTGTAACTGACGGTCCGCCTTTTATGGGTTATAAATCCACGGTGTTAAAATAAAAAATTGTCTAATTATTTATTATTTTTGAATGGATTTATATCAAACCAGGTCCATATTATATGCAAAAGTATATTTTACAGTTTTTTCTTAAAACAATAAGAGAATATTGTTTTTTAAAAATGTCCGTAGAGCATACTTTTATTGACATCCCCCCCCCCTAGGTCAATCCATAATTTTCCCAATCAGCTCGATATATTGATGATATTGCCAGAATTACTCATCAAGCAATACTACTGTTAAATAAATCAATTAAGGTCGTGTGTAAAAAATAAAATATACAATTTTATATACTAATTCATTATAATAAAATTAAATTGTAGCGTTTTTTATAAACATTACCGAATGCGAACGGCAGCTTTTCATCGGAGAGCAGTCGTGGGTAAGGTATTTCACTAGAAAGAAAACTATCAATAACAATAAACAAAAAAAATATAGATATTGGGCGCCAGGCATGTACAGAGAAAGAAAACACAGTTGTATATTACTTAAAACTTTTTAAAACGTTCTTGCTGGTACATGACATTGTTGAATTCTAATAAATATATAGTGGTTATATGTAAAAAAAAGTGGTGTTAATGGCTCCACAGAACAGTGAAACGATAGCAGGGTTGGCGACTAGGGAACGTAAAAATTACGCCAAGCGTGCCAAATAAACTATCAGGCCTGAACGATACGGAATCCGGTGATGATAGGCCCAGACATCATATATTATATATAAAAAAGACATGTAACGAACTAAAAACGTTACAAAATAATAAAAATAATGTAATTTTATTCCTGCAGATTAAGTGATTAAGAAACGGGAGTAACTGTTAGAACAAGCAATTTTTTTTTATGAAGAATGCATTTTTCTTAAAATGTCAATAATAAAAAAGTTTTTCCTCCCGTAATGACAATCCAGGGACATACTGTGTAAGAGCTATTCTTTCAACATAAATTGACCACAATTGAAATATAATACCACCTTTAAATCATCAAACTTTTATATTATTTAAATTTTACGCGAACTTAATGCATTCTTTAAGCAATAATAGAAAATTTGGTTAAAAATAGAAAGTTTGTCTACGTCAGCTCGAAAGTGCACTAAATTCATAACAGTCCCATTAGGATCGGGAAAGTAATTTTAAACTTTCCTTCTTCAATGGAAATAAGGCAAAACTTCCGCAACTCCGGTCGTATTCTTCGGGTTCCCTCAATAACTAACTTCCATTTTTTATTCCTGCAATGGTTAAATGTTTTTTTTAGCTTAACTATCATGAATAACAATCCAAGATCGTTATATTTACATGGATAATTAAATAACTAGAAAAACTGTCGTAAATATATCAACGCCGTAGTATTATTTTTTTTGCAAGCGCAGTGTGCTACTCTATCTATCCTTGGTTAGGAACTATCATCCACGCATCAAATTTGAATATAATAATAGTAATACTTTATTTTGCATGAATATCATTTACAACAAATGTAATTTACAAATAAATAATAATAATCAAAAAAAACATGCAAAAAAGGAACTGAAGACAATTAAAATTGGTTTAAATTCAGAGTATTCAATATTCAATATCTTCATTTTATAGCCATCGCTGACGACGTTTTTTTCGATCATACGGTATTTGTTTCATAGCATATGAAAAACGATATTTATTTTTTATTTATTATTGACCAAGACAAATAAAAATCATATACAGGGTGTTTCAAAAAACGTGCCATCTCTCGTGGGGAGATTTCTCACGTAAAAATAAGATTTATTTTTCATATCAACATAGGTCCGATTCTGCTTTGTTTCGTAGTTACAGGGTGTGAAGCTCTTAATATTTTTTCGATTTATTATAATTTTCTTCCGAGTACTTTTGGCGTTTTGAATGAAATTTTGAGGGTAAATGTTGCTATAAGTGCTACCTTTCTAATACTAAAAAAGTGACGATAAATTCATCAGGGACGTGCATATAGGTTATAACTGGAATATAAAAAAACATGTGCGCCACTGACTTTCTTTCCCTGATATTAAAATTGTGTAGGCCGTTTAATGTGAATTACAATTTATCTCTTAAGAGTATATTACGCTGTACTGTTCGGGTCGCTCTCAGGGGTCGAGTAAAGCGGGTGTGTGACCGAAGGAAATATATATTATATTTCAGAAATCTGCTTAAGACTTAGCTCGATCCTGTCGTGTTAAGCCACACCCAACATTCCAAGCACACGTGCTTTGATTAAGACTTGATTAAGACTTGATTAAGGTTTGCAGACCTTCAGCATTTGCCATAAAATAGCGAGCAATTTCTTACAAAACCATATAAATTATATATCACTGTAATCACACAATTTCAATCTATTTCCGTATTGTAACGGAATTTTAAATTATGCCTTTATTTTCGAGAAAATTTAGTCCAAACATAAGGAATATTTTGTTGATGTTTGACCATCAAAATACGTGAGGAATCTCCCCACGAGATGTGGCACGTTTTGTAACACCCTGTGTATAATTTTTATTTGTCTTGGCCAATAATAATTAAAAAATAAATATCGTTTTTAATATCCTATATGAAACAAATACCGTATGATCGAAAAAAAACGTCGTCGGCATATGTTTTGTGAAACACCATGTATTTTACTAACCAGGTGATTAAACGAATTCACATGAAAAAAATATAAAATTGGTAAAATTTTTTCAAAAGAATTATCCACTATTCTGTGGACAATTCAATCTTAGGGCGTTGATATATCTGCGTAAGTACCGTATAATCGAAAAAAAACGGCGTCAAAAACGGTTGGGAAATGACAATCGTTGATAATTTTGAAGAGGTCATCTCTTGACGTCATTTACTAAAGATTGACATACAACTTGGCAAAGTTAACACTAATTATAGAAAGATTAAAAAAGGATAGAACGTTTTCAGACACACAAATTTAATTCCAAAATATGCTTTTTTCTCGAATTTTAAACTAGACCATTTAAAAATCATTTTTGCTCAATATAAAAATAAACTACACCCTTCTTAAGACAACTGGCAGTAAGCGCCATTAAAAAAAAGCATAGAAAATTACGGACCAAGTAATGACGTCTAGGGCTTGACCTCGCCAAAATTATCATCGATTGTCATTCTCCAG